GTGTATGTGCTTGTGCAGCGGATTATTTTTTAACTATGCACGGGTAAATCTGCAGCTTACAAACAAGGCGGCTGACGGCCTTTTTATATTTCCGAATGGGCTACCAATATATAAAAGAAGAATATATAAAGATCATATATGTAATTTTAATGAAATAACCAAACTAATAATTCTAGAGCTTGCACTTTCTATGCAGGTAAGTAAATAAACCTATAAAGTATTTCTCCTACCTTCTTAGCGTGCCTTCGTGGTGTAGTCTGCACGCCAGGGGCGTATTCCAGTGATCCCTGGTTCGATTCACCGCGAAGATGTGGCCCATTTTTTAAGTCTCCTGCTTTCAAAAAATATCTAATGTCTCTACAAACCAAGGTACTAGAAGCGGCTTGGTGCATGGACAGCAATAAGGAACCAAAAATATTACTGTATTTCAAGGTTGGCTTTTACATGACATCACTAACTTTTAGCTTGCCGAAAAGCAAATTCTTCGTTATTCTCTTACGACTTTTCGTTTCTTTTACCTCAGGTGATGTCAGTGTTGCCTAACCTAGTTTGTCTATTGACATTAATAGAAACTTCTTTCCAGTAACAGATTCTTGCTGTCGGCCGAGTTCGATGGCGGAGCGGTTGGTCTGTCATTTTTACGATTGGTAATGAACAGCATCATTTTGGTTTGAACATCTTTATTGGTTTCTATGAGTTTTTATTTACCCTTGCGACCCCAGCAGCAAAGAGTATCAAATCAGTTTTCTCCAACATACATTCTGTTCTCGTCAGGATTATAGTTTTCTTCATGCCCCGACTAATGAATGTTAACCTAATTGTTTTGCTAAAAATTTAATATCTAAACAAGACTTTGATACAATAAAGATAGAAAAAAGAAAATATTTAAGAGAAAGCTGGCAGAAGGGCAGCTTTTCATTCCGCAAGTTCGAATTAAAAGAAATATATAATAATTTTTTAAAAACTTATTACTGCAATGTTGTGGTATTATAATTATTATCATTACCATTACGACATTACGTTGAATTATTACACACATAACTCGATCAGTATATTATTATTATTCCCCACTGTTTTCATGAGGGATCCGAATGTTTATACAGATTATGAGTTTGCACATAGTAGTTAAATATGAAAATTTAGAATTAAGATAATATTCTGTAGTGATAAATGCATTAAAATTAAATAATCTTAGCTCAGTATACCTTAATAATAAATATTTTAAAATATGCTTTTAGGAATTATTTCATATGAAATGATTTCAGGTACAGTTTTCTGATGAGGAAAGATTTAAACTCTTTTCGTATAATGAATACATTTGAAGAAGTTGATTTTATAATATTAGAATTATATTTCACAAAAATGAGCCATATCGTTTGCATTCGTAGAGTGAGTTTCGGATGACAAATGATTAAGAATATTTTATCGCTATGACTGAATTTCGATTAATTTATTTTTGTAACAATTACATCGCAAAAGTTTTGTCTGTTGACACTTTTAGATATAGCCCTTCTTTCCTAGTTCGAAACTTTTTTGAAAATGGAATATCTGACCTTGTATGTATGTCCTTTTGCGAAACTCACCAAAATAATGCCATAGTTTGTAAATTTAGAAAACAAATTAGCTGACATAATTATTACATGGTAAGTTCTGAAGTTTATTCGAGTTTTTAAAAATTGATTTACTTTTCACAATGTTACCCAAAGATCGCTCTATTATATAAAATTTAAAAGCAAGCTTTAAGACTAAAATAGTGATCATGAAATAGTGATCATAATATAGACGGAAGAAGTTTTAATACTAAAATTCAAAATCTAGCAATAAGTCTAATGTTACGACAAAAGAAAATATAAATAGCTATAAAAAATTATCTATATAGCCATATAGACCGAAAAATAAAATAAAAACTCAAAAAATAAATTTTGGGGACCAAATTAAAAGATTAAAAGTTTTTGCTGGAAACATAAATTATTCTGTTTATTTATTATGACAGCATTTACGAAATAATAATACAGGGTGTTCATAATGTAATCACCGGATAGCAAAATTAAATTGAAAGGGAAATTTGCAAAGTAACAGGACAAAATGGCATCATACATTTGAAAAGCAATATGCGTTCTCTGGTTATGGGAAAAGAAATGTTCCGGAACAGTTTATAGTCGACGCCGATAGAGTCGATAAATTTAATAAACCCCCACCAACAGGACAATCAATTAATAGATGGTTAAAACGCCTTCGAGTGCCCGGACATGTTTTGCATAAAGAAAATGCAAATAGGCAGGGCATCGGTAATGAAACTGTTTCCCTTTCTAAATGTGTTTGTATGCAGTGCCAGCAAATCCTTTGCCTTGTCTGCCTGCAAACAGGAATTCCCAGGTCAACTGTTCATAAAGTTGTTCATGAACGGTTGACACTGTGTATAAAGTGAAGGCTTGCCAACAAATGACACCTAATGTTTGAGTCATTGGTAAGAAAATTCCTGTAGACATTCTGAACCTTATGATCAATTTCGTCAGAAAATCGCATGCAATGAAGCAACATATCATGTTTGAGGAGAGGTTAAGAAACAGAATGACAGGATTTGGGTCTCAAACCCGCATTTTGTATGAGAAACTGAGCGATATAGAAAAAGTTTATGTTTGAAGCGCACTAACTCATAACAAAATGTTTGGTCCTTTGTTTTCTCAAAGTCTTCAATTAATTCAGATGATTACGTCGACATTCTGAGATTGTTTTCCGGACCGCAATTAGAAGAAATACAACCAAACGTTTTTTTCCAACAGGATGGGGCCACGTATCGTTGGGCTACACATACTACATACGGATTGCTTGATGAAATTTTCCCAGATCGTTGATTGGTAGAGGTGGACTAATTTCATGGCCACTCTGTTCTCCGGTCGTCAAACAACTCGACTTCTTTTACAGAGGATATCTAGAGAGCCGAGTTTAATCTGCAGAGGCTCTTAACATCAAAGAACTGAAAAATCGAATCATCACAAAAACAGCTACTGCGACTCCACAAATGCTTAATTCACTCTCGAGGGAAATCGAGAACAGACTGTATATTCTTGGTGTAATTAATGGTGCTTGTGTTAAAGTGTATTAATATAAAATTCCTTGAAGGGCTAACTAAAGGTTCAATCAGTTTTTTTCTCTATCTCTTATTCGATACTATTTAAAGTATATATTTATCAAATGAATACATTGTGGGTACCCTGTACAATAATACGAGTACTACTCCATTTGGTAAATTTAATGTCCTACTACCAGAAATAACATGCAAGATTACAAGAAGAAAAGGCCAACAAATCATAGTAACAGAAGTAACGAGGTATTTACCAGCAAGTATAGGTAGGAAAACAGATAGTAGTCACTAATAGTTCTGAATGAATGTACGTTTCTAAATGAATGGGCTTTCTAAATGAATGGACGTTCTAAAAGAACGGAAATTTGAATGGACGTTTCACTTCATAAAATATTAAATATATACGAATATGTGTCTTTAGATTATTGCAATGAATTCATTATTGATTAGAAAATGCACCGATTTACGAAAACATGCATCTTTTTTTTTAAAACATCATCACGTATTCTCCTTTATTAATCAAGACATAAACTCTGACACCACTTTTGTCTGCAAATTTCGGTATCATGAGAGGGGAAAATATGTAAAAAATGAGAAAGAAATTTTCCACGGTCAATTGCTATTAGATTAATTGATTCAAGTGATCCTTTCAAATAATAACTTCGGCTGCTTTAAAAAATTCCATGATCAATATTTTCAATCTCATTCTTAATTGCCAAACTGTTAAATTTGCTTAATATAATCCAATCTTAACTAGTTCTAAGGCAGTTTGATAAGACAGTAACAACCACCTCTTCAGTTACAGAAGTCTTTGATCTTGAAAGAGGATATATAATATTTTGATGCTAAGCTTCCCATTTCACACTGAAAGTTTTCGCAGGAATATGAAAAAAAAGTTACCTTAACAAGTGATAAAAACTGTTGGACTATTTTCTTCCAAGAATCAATACTTTTGAATCAGTCAACGATAGGGATAGAGAAAGCGGACACAATTTCATGTATTTAATAACCAAAATGTTAGAAAAGTGGAAAACTAGAAGAGCAAGTTCGAGTTAACAACGTTAAATATATTATACACAGTATTTAACACGAAAGTAACTGTTATACGAAAGTTTATACGAAAGCGCCCGTTTTTAGATACCCGATACCATCAATACCATGGTGTTATTATTATTAACAACAATTATTAATTATTAAGTCTATACATGAACATAAGTCTTAAATTAGGATTCTTAATCATTGTCTTCACTACAATGATTCTGATCACCAATCATCGTCAATAAGCATCAAGATTAATTATGTATCTAGAAGATGATTAGTCTTTAAGACATTATTGGCCATCAACATAGTAATCATTAATAAACAGCCTAACAATGCAAAACATACAATAGTTATTTTCATATCTCTTTCATAGCTTAATAAAAGTTACTTTTATAGTGAAGATAAAATATTAAAAACCTTCCGCAAACACATTCCTGTGTTTTGACACATTTCAATTACGAGTATCAAAATGTATTTAAAAATATTTTCTTTAGGTGAGCAAACTAAGCGATTTAAAATTTGTCTTAGATAATTCACTGAATTAAAAAATACATACAATTTTTTGTGTGAACGAGCGTAACAGGGATAAAATATATTCAGAATTCGTGTAAATATTGAGATTAAATTTATTCAAAATTCAATTAAAAAATATTAACTGAAGGGTAAAAAACGCATATTAGTCTAAATTTAGAAGTATTAAAAGGATTGAAAATACTTTCATTTTAAATCATTCATTATTTATTCCATCAGGGGAAAGTACAAAGTTGAATATCATGTAATTTGGAATTCACATTTCTGAAGTAACACTTGAAATAAACTGCTATTAAAAATATATCAATGCTTCGAAAATGTAAGTTTAAATGCGTATACTTACGAATTTCATGTTGACTTAGAAAGGTAGAATGCAGCCAGATCAAGAAGAAGACAAGAAGCTTCTGAGTACACCTGAGGTGTAATTTCTGGCTTTTATAGAGAAATTGATGCGTTCAAATTATTTATGTTTTTGCATTTGTTGCGTCATGCTCTGATCACGACGAAGGTATGTGTTACATTTTAAGCATCTTCCACAGTCCTCAAGGTTGACCACTGCATTCAATTACTATACTATTTTATTGTTCATCATCTGTATTTCAGCTCTCGATTTTTTGTTATTGAAGGTCGTTGAAGTTAGCATCTTCTGCTGAAAAGTTAATGCGTTGTTTATCGCTTGGCCTACGCCTTAGTTCATGCATTCAGACGTAAACACTCACATTCCAGACTTTTTATTCTACAATTTTTTACAACATTTCTACATTTTCTTGATATATAAATTTAAGATTATTTTTTGCAATACTTACATAAGCACTCAAGGATCACCGATCAAGGAATACATATCTCGAGAAGTATTTCGATTGCCATTTCGTTTTCAAACAGGTGTGAAGAAAATCCCAAATTATGCAATTTGATAACTTAAAGAGTTTAATCGTTTTTGGGACGCATGGCGGCTATTCCGTTTCAGAGTGAGAGATGACCATTCAAAAGTTGCGAAGTAATGCAAAATTAATAGTCAACATTATTTTATCACAACAAAAACTGGAGAATACCTTTCTAAGCATTGCCTTCAAAAGAAAATAATTTTATAAAGATTTAAAATTTACTGGAAAGCAATCATCTTTAGACGAAGATTAATTAACTTTGACGACAGAAATTTAACTTAATAAGTGATTTATTAATCGAAATCAAAGGCAAAGGCTCCAAAAAACGGGGTGAGGGTACATGAAAACTCTAAATTATTGTTTAACACTCCTAAAAGTTTATTATAAAAATTTTAAATATTAAAAAAATTACAGAATTAAAAATAGTAAACATTATACGATAAAAATTTGCAATATAATCTTGCCATGCAGATTTCAATTTAATACTAAGAAAATGTTAAACTAAGCTAATACAGCTATGATAGGCGTATTCATTAAAAATTTGTTTCGAAGAAATTAAAAGTATAGAATTCAGAATCTTTCGTTTAAAATAAGATGTTCAAAATAACAAAGCCAAATCATAGAAAATTTTTATGACACTATTTTATCATAAATTAACACCACGTAGAGATTTTTAAACTTATTTAATAAAGAAAAGGTTTAATTATTCAATACATAACCGTTCATTTATTTCACTATATGGCTTCGCGCAAAAGACTTGCAGCACAACCATTTCTCAGGTGACAATATTCATTATGTTACTAAGGCACAAAATCCGACAGCAGAATAAAACAACAGATCCGTCAAAGACGTGTTCTTTGAGGCATTTCATACTTATAATCAAGAAGTATATGAGATATAGTAACTGAAAATTCCAAATAAAGAGGTTAGTTAAACTGAAATTTAAGTAAAAAGCAGAAGAGGCTGATAAAAGGAATTTCGGCAAATCTTTGGAATATGGTAACAGGTAGTTTGGTGACATTTTGGTAAGGCGATAAGGTTACTAGCTAGGACTTTAGCAGTGTACATGGATAAAGTCAAGAGTGTACGCAATGCCATTTTTGTGCAATTCTGGGATGTTTTTTTAAGTGAAAATAGGTCGACGTGTACATGGATACCGTGTATTTGCAATTCTTAAAAACGCGGCAAGCAGTTTGCGATTCTGCACTTTCTCCCAATTTCGCACCTAACGTTCGTCATGATTAAGCACTTTTGTTCCATAAAAGTTCTAGAATAAGCGTAATTCGGCTAGCAGATTGTTGGAAAAAAATGTTGAGTAGAAAAACAAACAAACAAAAAAAATTCCTTTACTTCGTGTAAACAAAATGGCGTTCAAACAAAAACTAGCAGGTTGCTGTAGCAGAGTTGTCGCCAAATTTTCGCCAAAATATTGCCAAGTTACCATAATTCAAAGATTAACCGGAATTTCTTAGCTGAAAATTTTCAGAGATATTATCTGCACATTTTTCCAGAAATCAGGAGTGACTGTTTATGAAATATTATAATGTAATAATTTAGCAGAAACTAGGTATGCTAAAAGGGAACTAAGTTCTATTCATAAAGAGGACTGGTTTATTATATGTATATTTGTTTAAATGAAATTGTAATGCTTTAGTTTAATCAAGTAATTCTTATTCCAGATTTCGCTAACCTTTGCTTTTCTTCTGCTACTAAACACTGTACGTAGATTTAACGCATATTAAGAAGACATAGCTGGTATCGAAGAGTAACGATATACTACTAGACATAACAGTGAGGACTGGCCATTGTGTGAAGATACTATTTTACCGTCCCGCCCTGTATGGCTGTTCGCAGCGCCGGTTGCTACTCGTATATTGTTGAGCACAGTTTCGAATTCCCGAGAATGCATTGCAAATGAGAATTTGCGGAGGAAGCAGGGTAAAGAAGTCACCTCAAATCCGACGAAATAAAGATCAAGAGATCGATGGTAGGAGAAATGAGACTCTTGGACTCAGTCCCTATAATCATGATGATTTCATTTCAGATTAGAAGAAGAACAGTCATAGCAGTTGTAGTACACTAAATTACGCTACTAGGGTAAGGTGACCAGATTTTAACATTGGCGGGACACCATTGACCAAGGGGGGGGGAGATTCTTGATTAAAAATTGGGTCTATATGGAGCAACACAAATTTTTATAGAATGCAAAAATAGTATTGTGATATATATTTTTTTAAATTTCAACATAAGTACAATTTACAAATATAATACATTAAAAAATTACGTATAGTATTATTTCATTCTTTGGCATATTTCTCATTTGAGTGAATTCTTTAAGTAGATTGCTGCCGTTTTTTTTTTTTTTTTTTTTTGTTGATTAACTTTTGGACAACTTGCGATGTACAAGATCTGAAGGAATGATTGTAATTATTAGCATGAAAAGACACAATTCCTTCTGCTAATGCTAATTTCTTTTCTTCATCTCCATAAATTGTTTTCCGAAAGAATTTCTGCATTTTGGAGGAAGATCCAGTAGTATTTAAATATCTTTTATGTTTCTGTGTACCCGAGTGCTTTGAAATATCATTCTTCCAGCCGGCCGAAATAGAAAATTCACCATTACATTTCTCACATTTTATCATGTGTTCGCTTTTTTTTTTTAACAAAAGAAAATTCTCTTCTTAGATCATCCTTGAATTTGCATCTTCTGTTCCTACTCATTATGTTAAAAATCTAAAGAAGTAATTTATTATAAATTTATAAATTATATATAAATTTTTATCTATATATATTGCTTAAAAACACAGTAAGTAGGTAAATAATTACATGAACATATTTTATTGTTAGTTTAAAAATTAAATAAATTTGTTTGTTATAAAGTAACTATATTTAAAAAAATTATTTAAATTTTAATCCTATAATTCTTTTTAAATAATAACAATATTAAATTGTATTATTTTTCCTCTGAATTTGCCGCAACGTAAGTCGTATGCGTCCCTTTCAAGACCGACGCTAGACCTTTTGCCACCACTATAAAATATAAATAATATGAGCTAAATTCAAGATACCTAATTTATGTGTTTGTGAAATAAATTACGTACCTAAATTATCTGAGTAGCTGATTTGTTGACATCACTTGTTTAAATAGCACTCGCACGCAGTACGATGTGTATCGTCTAAGAGAGAGTTACAAAATGTTTTCGTCAATGCCAATGCCAAAAATGCATAAGTCCAAAAACGGGGCGATTAAAATGAACAATGCGACTTTGTAATTAGCTCGAATAGTGTAGAGCAAGTGACGGAGGACGGGGACGCCTGGCGTATAACATAGGTAAACAGGCATATGTCCCACGTCCTCCACTATCTCGAAGAAGCAACTCGCTGGAGCCCCGTGAGGCTGCACCGGGAGTTTACATGGCCATACAGGGGCTAGATGTCGGGTAGTTTTTACATAGGACGTTGTTAATAACACAAAGTAACTTAAAAAAAATATAAAGGATAGCATTAAAACACTAAAACACTCATATAAGCTGAAACACATAGATATACAAAATTAAACGTAAAAGCATAAAAACACACTCGTAATTACGTAACATAAAGACATAAAAAACACACACGAGAATACATATCATGACACATAGAATACATATGGAAACACGTAGAGCACATAAATGCAAATATTACACACAGAAGAAAACATATGAGACATAGTAAGGTGTGCGTAAAGCAGTAGCGCTGTGCGGAAATATGCTCAGTTCCCATAATACATAATGTACATACTTTCATTAGGGGCTTCTGTTGCATGAATTACATATTTCGTTGCATACACTACATTCGTGCATTGTACGGATATTATATATTTCGATTTACGATAACACATCATTCCATTGGGTGCCCAGTGCTTTACACTGATAAACATGTCAGTAACATTATTTCTGCAAGTTGCTGGCTATTGAAAGCAGATGTTAACATGAGGCTCGAAATTGAATGTGGAATGTGTACATACTGCGAATATCTAATCGTTGAGTACATTGTCTGCAGTACCATGCTATTGTGGCTCGCAAATGTCTTGCCCTAGGGCGTTGATTTGCTGTACAACTGCGCAGATACTCCTTATAGCTGGCGGGTGTTTGATTATGAAACGATAGTAAAGTGTTCTATCATTCGTTGGATGTGGTAAGTGGTGGTTTGTTGTTAGACCGCAGTCAAATAGGTAGTGCTCGGGAGAACCTAGCATGCCACAGACACAATTGTCAGATGCTGAGATGCCATGACGCATAAAAATAAGATGGAAATGGGCCATGACCCGTTATGTACTGTGTCAGTGGGGCTATTGTTATAAGACGTTCCGTGTCTACCTTTGGTAGGAAGTTATACGTCCTTCTCCCTGTGTCGCCACTATTCCATTCTTCTTGCCACTTTTCTTTACAGATATTACGCAGAGTTTTCTTGAGGTGTGAGACGGGGGTAGGGGCTCTTATAGTTTGAGCGTGGATGTTGTTGGCAGCCTCATTAGCCAGTCGGTCTGCGACGTCATTCCCTTCGTTGTCGGAGTGTCCTTTCACCCATACCATGTTAAAGCGGGCTTGATGATTATTGCGTAAAAGTTGCT